TAACTTGTACTTTTTAATTGTACTGTATATTACCTAACCTTCTTCATCAGTTTAATTTCGATTTCAGGTTGCAACGCACGCTGACGACGGAATGACTCATTTGCTCAGCAGATCAACTACTCAAATTGGGTACGGCAATAGTATTTTATTTTTGTTGATAAGATAAGATCTCGCCTTCTTCTAAGTTCAAACATTAATGTTCCGAACCAGATCTTTAGATTTAATGATTCGACTCAAACTTTAAGTGTTTGGATAAGATAATCGGAATTTTGAACTTTATCATCGTGAATTCCATCAAAAAATAACTTAATGGTCGCACACCTCATTTGAAGAATAAACTGTTTACCTGATCTGGAGATCGAATCCCCAGTTATTAACAACTAATTCAAACTAACTTCTTAACCATTATCCTATTTAAAAAAAAAAACCAAATCAATGTTCCGTTCATCATGGCAAAATGGAGGATCACAATTCTATGAATCTGACTGTAATATGTAAACAATGAACATAGACGTGATTATGTACTAAGGTAAAACAAAACTGTATACTACTAATATAATTAAAAAATGAGAATAATATTATTCGGTCTCAGTTATGAAATATTTGCATTTAAATAATAATAATATAATTATAATATTCATGTTCAAAAAAATATATAATTATAATATTATAAAAAATTATAAATTTATAATTATAAATTTATAATTATAATATATTATTAAATAGATATATAATAAAAATAATTAATCACATATAATATATAATAATAATTAATCTTATAATATAACATGATATTATAATTATAATATTTTTAATATTTAAATACTTTAACTCAAACTATATGCTGTCCTGAAAAAAAAAACATTTTTAATTGAAAATATTGGTTTAATTTAATGATTATTCTATTAACTATTAATTTTATTTTATTTTAGTTTAAAATTTTAATTTTCTTTCAAGATAGTTTATAAATTTTTTTAAAAATTTTACCATGCAAAATTTTCATTAATTTTTACTAAAGATAACAAAAAAAATTAGATCAAATTTTTTTTTAAAAAAGTAACATTTTAAGTTTTGAGAAAATAATATTATAAATCTAATAAAATATAATTACTCAATAAATATTTTATACAAATAGATTAATTAAAATTTATGATAAAATTTAATAACTAGCTTAAAAGGAAAGAAACTTGGTAAGAAAAAAAAGAAATATCTAAAAATCTAATTTCAACTAGTAAAGTAGTATGCACATCTACCCTTTGGGCTGGATTCAAATCTTCTTCCCAAAAATTATAACTTGTTCAAAAAATTATAAATCACGGGTTATCATATTACAAATTTTTATCTTTAGTTCTCAAATTATACTTGTTTAGACACTAACAAGACGATGAGATCATCCTAGTAATCTAAGGACCATTAAGGTTATGTTGGTTTAAGTAGGTGAAGTTTAGTTTCACTTAAACATTATCTTAAATTTGAATCTTATTATTAGAAAGAGAGATTTTTT